TACTCTTCATCTCAAGAACGTTTCTCTTCTCCATTTCTTCGTTCTTGTGCTTCTCTAAACTCCTCTACTCTCTTTTTCTCTTCGTTTGAATTTCCTTGAACATGACGTGACATGTGTTTTTTTGCGCTTTGAACAGTCTTGATTTTCTTTTATGTTTTTTTGCCAAATGTACAGTGAACTGTGCATGTGCGCTGTGTGTGTACAATGCTGCGCGGCTGGCTAGCGATGCGCTACAGGTTTTTTCTGTTGTGTCCGTGATCTATGGCTTTCGCTTTCTTGCAGTTTTCACCGCTTCGCTGCAATAGTTGCTGTTTCCTTGAAGGCGAACTGCGATGCCTCCATTTTCGTAGATGGTCTTGGTGCGCGAGGGGCCGAGCGGACCTCGTGGCTTTTTTGTTTAGTTTCTTTTTCAGAGAGTTTTCCAGGTTTCAGTTTTTGTTGTTGTTTGTGAATACACTTTATACAGTCTTCAAGCGAGCAGTAGTTTTCGATGTGTGGTCGTGACTTGGGTTGTCTGTATTGCCCTGAACAAGGTGGGTCCAGGGGACCTCCCCTGGGAATTTTTTGGAAAACTCCAGTCAGAAATAGCAAAATTTCGCCCTTTCACAAGTTTTCAGAGCCAACTACAGGGAATAATTTTGCATGAATATCAACGCACAATGACAAGTACGGCCTACTATGGGTGCATGTACATACATGTATGTATGCATGATCGATAATACATATCACGTATCCCCGGTTTTAGACGAATCCCAGGGGGTGACCACAGCCAGAGTTGGTCCGGTGACAACCGGACCGGTTCCGGCGGCCCTGCCCGGTCGATTTGATTTGAAGATTGCGCCCCACATGGATTCGCTGTGCTCTTCATGTTTTTAAACGAAATCCACAGATTGCGCCCCACATGGATTCGCTGTGCCCTTCTTGTTTTCCAGAGAAACTCACAGATAGCGCCCCACACGGATTCGCTATGCTCTTCATGTGTTTCAACAAAACCCACAGATTGTGCCCCACATGAATTTTCTCCAGGTTTTCAGCAAAATCCACAGATTTCATGAACCACACACTAACTTGGGTGTGTTCCCAGAAGTCTCAAGGAAGCTCAGGGACACGGATTCACCGTGCCTTGTCTAGCGCCGCAAATATTTTCGTGTCGCCCCAGAATGCGCAGGCCATCTTCAGATTGCACGGAACATACACACTACTACCGTTACTCTACACTGGAGTGTACTGGTCAAGCGGACTGCTGCACGGACAGTGGGTGCTGCGAACAGCAAACCTGGCATGACATACCCTAGTCAGTTATCCCCCCGGCTTGCCAGCATGCTACCTCCAGAATCAGCACACATCAGCCAGAGTTTGCCTACAAGCACAACCCTATTCCAGCCATAGCGCACCAGTTAGTCAAATTTGGCCGTCACGCGGCCAGCACAAGGTATCCTCGACCAAGTCCTTTGCTGTTGCTTAGCAATGCATCGTTTAGCTGGCTTGGACACCCTGCATGCAAGTTTGGCGGCCCTGCGAATTACTGCATGCAGTCATAGCAACCTTCAAAATTCAAGCCGGTTTCCAATAAGCAAGGAATCAGACAAAGCCCCTGAATCAGTGCCCCGCCAGTCACCGGCACTTCATTGAACGTGGAATAAAATGAGCAGATTTGTGATCATCAGACTAATACTGAGCAAAGCACTGTTACGCCAAGTGATCGACTTAGGCATAGGTAGTGTGCGATAGTCCAAAACATGTTTTCCAAAATTGCACCAAAGTCGATGAGGGGCGGGTGGGAGGGATAACATTTGAAATATGTGAAACAGTTTGATGCCCACTGCAGCGTAATCAGCAAGAGGAAGAGGCCGTGGGTGGATTTGTGTTTGCTTTTCGAAGGCTGTGACCATCCATTTGACCCATACAGTTTTTGTGCGAAGGTGTTCTCTTGAGCTGTCAGCTAGGCGCCTGGCAAGTGCATGAAACCTGATCCCTGTGAGGGCTGCAGTGGGCCCGGCGGGCTACCCGGCACAGCTTCCCAGTAAGGATTTCGGGGTTGCTGACTTGTTGCAGTCGGTGTACACTAGTGGTGTGTGGACTTCCTTGCGTGCGCTGCAATGCATGTGTTCAGAGTCCCGCTTGCATGACATCCCATCATGATTCAACCCATCATGACTTGAAGAAGAGAGGTGAGCCGAGCGAAGGGAGCCAGCCCGTGTAGCCAACCTAATCGAGTTCGTTGCCACAGCTGACTATCATTAAACTGTTCGCTCCTATCAACTGATCTTGCGTTATCAGGCCGGTCCAATACAGACTGTATGAACTACATGTATGGGGTGGGTCACAGTATTACACCACTGCATCTGATCTGCACTGAGAAGCATATCTACTGGATTGTGCACAGTTCTCTCCATCAGAGTACCTAGTTTGCCATGTATTGCATACTGCAGCGTGTTCAACAAAGGTACTTGATGTATAGAGTGAAGTCACCATCACAGGTAGAACATCAATACGGAGTGGAATCAGCGAGGGCGTGGATCAACACTATTTTTCGATACTCGTGTTGAGATACAGAAAGGTTGACACTCCCAAACACAACGGACACAAGGAACGGGTAGGTGGAACGACATTTTTACTGGGAAACGAAAAGACGGAGACAAGGACGAACGAAACGACTACATTATGGAAGAGCGAGAGCGAGTGATAGAGAATGCAAGATAAAGGGCCTGGGTAGCTGTGGCAAATATGGGCGTGCAAGTAGCTACCCAGGCCAACAGAAGTAAGCAACAGCACAATAGACCTTATTTGATCACGTGATTTTTGGACTCGCCTCCAGGGATTTGTCGTAAGCTAGGGCACGCGTACGTGAAACGAGTGGCAAGAAAGGCCCAGGTCGTACAAGGGAGTAGTAAAATACCGGTATTTTCTACTCCTGTGTTCCCACGCCAAGTCCTCTGTGCACTGAGTGCAGGTCTCTTGCCACTCCCTGGTTCCCGGGACCCCGGTTCACGTGATTGTGACGTTTATCGAATAAGGTCTATAGAGAGGTTCCGCACTGCGTTAAGTTGAGCAACTTTACGTTAGTAAAAGTAAAAAAAGTAAATTATCGTACCCGTTCCCGAAGGGAACTCACGACGGCCGCTAACACCCGATAAACCCGATAAACTTTACGTTAGTGGGCGGGAAAAACCCGTGAATTCGCGAGTTTGCACTCCACTTACGGAAAGTTGTCTACGGAGAGTACGTAGATAGGGCTTTGATAACGTAGCTGGTTCGTAAGTGGATTAGGGTACACATTTATGGCTCTCTCCCCAGGTCGATCTGGTCGTACACTGCCGCGTTCGGAGTTGCCAAGGGCAGCTATGTGATTTTAAAACTCCGTATGGCGGAGCCCAGATGCGCATGCAGTTTAAGTAAGACTTTCCGTAGATCGACTACGTTTTTTACTAACGTAATTACGTTATGCGGAACCTCTCTAATCTGAGCACATTGTAGGTTTCAGCCGGTTCAAACAGGGCGGCCAAGTGCTATGTGTTTCGTGGCACCCTTCTACTGGGCTGTGTGTGAAATGGATTCCGGTAGGTCAAGTTTACTTCACAATGCATGGCCTGAACTCACGGTACAAGTACATGAATTACATGTGCCTCTGGCCATTTACACCGTATACTTTGCTTTTACATGCGTTGACAAGGGTTTTCCTTTTAGGCCACACCAAGTTAATTCTATGTTTCGCGTCGGGTATTTTCTGGAAAAGGCACGCGGGCGGGCGGAAAAAAACAAAAACAGAAGAAAAAACAAAACTCCATTCTATGTGTACTGAGCCATGTTGCACACAGAATACCACTACTAAACTGTCACTTCTATCCAAAACGACAACAAGACGTCACAGGACAGCTGGCAGACTGGGCTGGAGCGATACAGAGATTTCATGGATGGCTCCTTCTGCATTTTGACATGAGTCGAGTGGGATCCCGCTCCATCACAATCGTGGAAAATCTCGAAGTCCTTGACACCTGGAATCTCTGCTCGCTTGGTGAGCAGGCCCTAGGCCTACCGCACGGCTTGGAAAAATTGAAATTTTCATCTCTCGCACCTTCTACATACCATCGCCTGGAATGCAAGATTATCGAGAAGCTGATAACCTCTGATCTGTCATACTGGCTAGAGAATGTTCGCCAGAACAGCCATCGACTGGCTCGTCAAGGTTCTTTTTTTTCTTGTCAAGGATTCGAAAAGGTACGCGGGCGGGTGACGCGAAACATAGAAATAACTTGGTGTGGCCTTACCGACTCAAACTTATTGACCGGAGAGTGGACTTGTCGAGTCAGTCGTTTCACCCCTAGTATACACCGTGTAAATACTAGAAAAGAGTGCTGTCACACCTTTGTCATGTGACCAAAGTAGTGTAGAAAATGATCATGTCATGTAGTGGGGGAACACGGCAACATAACCGACATCATGTGACCCATAGACACGGCAACATAACCAACATCATGTGGCCCATAGACACGGCAACATAACCGACATCATGTGACCCATAGACACGGCAACATAACCGACATCATGTGACCCATAGACATGGCAACATAACCGACATCATGTGACCCATAGACACGGCAACATGGCCGACATCATGTGACCCATAGACACGGCAACATAACCGACATCATGTGACCCATAGACACGGCAACATGGCCGACATCATGCGACCCATAGACACGGCAACATAACCGACATGATGTGACCCATAGACATGGCAACATGGCCGACATCATGTGACCCATAGACACGGCAACATGGCCGACATCATGTGACCCATAGACACGGCAACATGACCGACATCATGTGACCCATAGACACGGCAACATGACCGACATCATGTGACCCATAGACACGACAACATAACCAACATCATGTGACCCATAGATACAGGGATTGACTGGAGTAGGAATCAACATGCCTGTCCCCTACGGTCATGTGATGGATTCGAAACCACTCAATTGCATACAGGTACACACCTCTAGGATGGAGCTGGAATTGACTGGGCCGGTTCTCCAATGAATCAGCTGATCTCTTCCCGACCTGCTCACGCCGGAACAAGAAATCATTACGCAAAGTGGAAAAAAGTCATAGTGTTATATGCATGTAGATGTCAGACAAATGGAGCAATGCGGGGTAAACACTGAAAAAACCAGAGATGCCCCGAGTAGTATTGCTGTGCTGTAGGTGTGTGCTCGCCATTGTTTTGCACACTGTGTGTGCTGCCAAGAGTCCATAATCCCCCAGAGCGCACAACTGGACGGGGTTGTGGGACGGCGTAATCCGTGATGTACGTCATTTTTTTGGGTCGGACTTGCGTCATTCCGTCGACGCGGTCCACCACGGAGATACTCTACCCTACTCATGATACCCACAGTCAACTGGGAACTTGTGGCCAGGCACAAGGGGTACATGGATGCAGCTAATGGGGTCGTTTTCGGCACTTGTGCCAGTGGTTGTGAGACTTATCCACTCAACCCCACCGTTAGGCGCTGCATCTGCCGCTAGGGTTTATCGGGTGTTAGCGGCCGTCGTGAGTTCCCTTCGGGAACGGACACGATAATTTACTCTTTTTTTATTTACTCATGATGTCACACTATGACGTGCAACGCGGATTTCGCCGTCCCAGATCTGAACAGTGAAGTTGCGCACTCTGGGGGATTACATGGACTCTTGGTGCTACCTATGCACCCACATAGTTGTGTACGGTACACATAAAATAGTACCCCAAGGCAAAGCCTCGGTTCGTATTACAGGTTTCTATAATTATGATAGCCATAAATCTGAGGTCGAGACCTCTTTCTATTTATTTAAAACCATCTGATAAAGAGTCCCACACACACAAAAGCAACCACAACCCAGTGGGTTTCTAAAAAAAAAAGGTGTCGTTATCAACATGTGGTGGAGTCAGTTTTCACAGAATTTTCAACGGTCGAATGCTGCTGCTTACGTTCTTCTTTATCAACTGTCACCATTTCACTTTTGTCTACATCGACAAACTAGAATTGCACTGAATGAGGTCTACTGCGCTGTGGTCAATGTTGTGTGCAGGTCTAAAAAAGACAGTTTAAAGCTCTTCAATAATTAGGAGAGTGTCCGGGTGTGTTGGCCAATAATCTTTTTCAGTCTAGGTAACGTGGGCTTCCACCGTCTGCAAAAATGTGAGTGGTTTTCAGAAATTGATTAGCGCAAACTAACTACTCTGTAACTTGGCTGATTGATTGTCTTTGGGCACCATCATTCACCTGGAGGCCAGCCAAGTTGTTTCCGATATGAATCATTTTGTCGCAAACGAAGCCGTGCATGAAAGTGGACTTTGTGCCAGATCTACCCATGACAGCAGCATTCAGAAAGGAGTATGGCCCAGGGATGCATTGCCATCGCATCTTCACCGCTAAAAAAAATGAAAAAAGTGCGTCATGTGTGCAGCACAAATAAAGGACTACGGCGGCAATTCGGGGTTAAAAATATCAACCCCGCGGCAAGCTGATGCTGCTGTATTATGCACATCAACACACTCACACTCACGCACACACACACACACACTTGACATCGGCAAACTGCTGGCAGCTGTGAATGAAGAAGGCAAGGAAAAAGGCTAGAACTGGAATGCTAGCAAGACCAAATTGACACACACACAGTTTGCAGCTAGCCCAGCAATCCTCTCCACTATTATCGGCAGGTGGTATTAGATGATGCTCTGAAAGACGTCTGCAAGTTTTAAAACCCAGGTTTATTAAGGTGGCTGGGGCGGTACAACTTTTTTGGGAAATTTTGACTGCATTTTTGAGTTTATCGGCAAGGCAGAGATGAAATTTGAAAATGTTTTCTGGTGAATCTCTGGAGAATAGCCTTCTCTAGCTTCCTATAGTTTTATTTTTACTTTTGGACAAAATTTGAAATTGTTTTATGAAAGGTTCGTGTTATTTTTTCACGGACCTTTCATAAAACTTTTTCAAATTTTGTCCAAAGTAAAAGTAAAACTATAGGAGGCTAGAGAAGGCTCTTCTCCAGAGATTCACCAGAAAACATTTTCAAATTTCATCTCCACCTTGCCGATAAACTCAAAAATGCAGTCAAAATGTGATCAAAATGACCCCTAAAAAGTTGTACCGCCCCAGCCACCACCTTAAAGGCAGTGGACGGTGACAGTTCTGACAATGGCAAGACCTGGATTGCTAGCGCTAAGAGAAAGACACTACTAGCAGACCGAGATGATATCCGGCCTCCGCAGTGCAAAGACAACCACTTATCACACGGGTTGAAGGTGCGGCTAACAAAAAGGCCTTACATGGCCCGTCATTACGTATGGTGTGGAAGAGCGGACATTGTGGTTGGCAGATGGGAAGCGTATTCAGTTGGCTGATGTGTGGGTAGAGTGTTGTGGACTGAGCATAGATCTGACGAGAGCATCTAAGAGGAATTACGCATATATTTATGGTTTGTGCATTAGTTCGGCTAAGAGCGCATGGTGGTGATGGGTGGAATACGTAGTAAATTATCATCCATGTGAAAGCTAAAATGAAGTATGGAGCATGCGAGTGACAAAAATGTGGCCAGCCATGGCACTACATGCTACTAGTCAAACTGTCTCAAATAAATTATACTCTACTTTTATTGCAAACATAAAGGACCAACAGTTACAGTGTCTGCTCCAGGATTGTAGGACAGCCGGGTACACGTGTACCTGGCGCAACCATTTCAACCGGGTCGGAGCCGGGTACATGTGTACCTGGCGCAACCATTTCAACCGGGTCGGAGCCGGGTACACATGTACGCCCAATGATATAAAGGCGAATGGATAAGCCGCATTTAGAAAAGAGAGGACAAGAATTAGAAAATTACGAAAGAAGAAGAAGTATCTGACACATACACGCCATGTAGTCAGTCCTTTCGAAAGTGTAAAGTACCAACCGGGTCACAGGTGACCCGGCACTATATTTTCAACCGGGTCCAAGCGCCGCCCAACCGGGTGGATTAACCGGCTCACCCGGCGCTGGAGCAGACACTGAGTTAAGAGTAGAGCCCACACGCTCTCTTCCATTTTAAAGGACCAAGGAAGTACAAATTACGTTACCGGTATAATGTCCACTAACACCACCAGTTACTAAACAATCAGCTCATGCGATAACATTGCACGACACTGACCGACGGTACTGGTGCTCTACAACTAACTGGCTATCAGCTCTAGCACATATTGGATGCGCACTCCGACAGCTTTCCAACTTGGAATGTTCTAAGTTATAGGAGTAACATAGGAGGGGAAGGTGAACGCAATCAAGACACGCATAACCTGAAAGTCTTAGCTGTAAAGGATATTGGAATGCGCATCCAAGACGTGCTAGAGCTGATTGGCATTTAGTTGTAGAACGTCAGTTCTGCCGGTCAGTGTCGTGCAATGTTATCGCATGAGCTGATTGTCGAGTAACTGGTGGTGTTAGTGGACATAATAGCATAACTTGTAGTTCCTTGGTCCTTTTCTTTGTAATAAATCTATCCTTGGCCCACCATCCGAGTCCATCCTTACTCTCCTTTCAATAGATCGTTCTGGGTGCTACATACGCTCACAGGTTGCATTTCGTTTGACAAGACAATATTGAATATCGGAACATGGAAATGGGTTAAATGTTTCAAGTTTTCAGCATCCGTAGGAACGCCACCACCCTGCAAAGATCAGAGGCGTAGATGCAGCTCAGTCTTAAAGCGGTGGGAGATGAGCAGATCAGCCCACCAGCAAAGTGGTCAAAGACCGAAACACCAACAGCACAAATACAAGTTTTGTTTTTTCACAGCTGAGCGTAGGGAAAGAGTGCAAAAAAGGTATTTTTCAATCACAAACATTTTTGAGAAGTTGATCTTGTCCTGCGCAACTCTGTAGAACCTATCATCGTGGTCTTTGTTTCTCCCCATCGTGAGCATGATTGCTCTGGTAGACCACTACTCCATTACTGAATAGTTGCCCTGTGAGTGAAAAAGGCTATTTCGTAGAACAAGTCCCCGGTGGCAGTACACTCACCAGTACTGATCCTCCGGTCTCCACTGTTCCTGGCGTAGCACCGTCTCCCCGAGGCTCCACTGTTCCTGGCGTAGCACCGTCTCCCCGAGGCTGGTACACCGGTGCCTGCTGCAACGGCTTCACACTATTGATGATAGCACTGGACTTCTCCAGGAAGTATTTCTGGATGCGACAGATCTGCTGTTGCTTGCGTCTGTGACATTGCTTGTGAAGCTGAAAATGCGACAAGACACAACGCAATCCATTGGTATAACGCCATAACGATGTTTGCTCGTCTTCAGATACACTGAGATCTGTTGCTGGTAAGCAAAGGCACTTGCAGTCAGGGAAAGACATTACCCAATGTGAACTAGGCAGTACAACAGGAACAAAGAAACAATTTCACAAATACCGTGCACACAAAGCGTAGTAGGCCGGCATGAACGGTCTGCCTTTCACTCTGGCAACAAGTATGCATACTTCGGGACAATGGATCGGTGTAGATGTCTTGCCCTCGTGACATGATCAACAGTGCATTCTAGCAGGGCTGAACACCCTAAAAACCTAGGTTCTACTCAACGGAGAGTAACATCTGGCTAAGGTTGATGTTGACCGTTGATGAGCTCCTAATTCCATGTTGGATGGATTGCAGGGTTAACCCATCAGCTCTCTTCAATCACAAGCTGGCTACAACCGTGATTCGTCAATTTAGAACCGGGTTACTTGTAGTTCGTACCCTGCAAACTATAGCAACCCCAGGTCACGGTCTTTTCTCTCGACAGGGTCATTAGCCAGGTCAGTAAATCGGGTGATCCGGTTCGGTTCTAGTTCAGGGGCGTCGGAACCAGTGCGGCAGGTGCGGCCAAAGCCGCACCAATAATTTTCGAATTTGTTATTATTATTATTATTTTTTTTACATTTCAACCTTGTTGGTGGCTTGTCGACTCTTGTACGAGGTCATTTGCTATTTTTGGACACTCAAATTAAATAGCACCCTATTATGTTGGTTTGTAAAATAAATTAATTTTTTTTCTTGCTTTTCTATTGGCACACTTATGCTTTACCACCACCACACACACCTGAAGGCCTAAAGGTGAAGCGTGCGGCCACAACTTGACCTGATCAAAGGCGTCTTTTTTTACTGCTTTCGCAATGCGAGCAATTATTGGACAACTAAATTAAATAGCATCTAGCAGCAGTCTGCAATGGTGGGGACAAGTATAACTTGCACAGGACATGAAAGTGGGGTAAGGCTATGCCTATGAGACCGGCTGATATGAGTTCTAATGACAGGCCGTTCATAGCAAGCTTGTCAAGGCCTTTCAATGTGACACACAATTTAAAGGGTCGCTCAAGGGTTTTCATGGACGTCATATTCAAGAACAGAGGAGAGCACTCCAGTGTGGCGCATCTCCTTCTCATATTTCGCAAAGAGTGGAGGGCAAAACGTCTTAACTAGCCGCTGCGTCCTTCTTTGTTAGGAAGTGTTCACTGGTGCCAGGTGAGTGGAACGCTCGCACTGCTAAAAGAGATTTCTCCTGACCAGAACTCCTCCACAAACGCACGGGCTGAGAAGACGAGGAGACTCTTCCAGGCGGATTCGAGGTGGAAGACGTAGTCTCTGGGGTTGATGGAAGGGATACAACATCCCCCATGTCGACATTCTCTCCGTCATGCGACGTAGAGTCGACGGAATCCTCCATTATTTACTATTTAATCGAAATTTTCAAAATTACTCAATACATCACCTAAGAATAGTAAAGAAAACGCCCAGAAAGAAACGACTTTCGCCGCTAAAAATAGGAAGGAAGAAACTTGAGGACCACACGAAGACACTCTTGTCAACAATGTGTCCACCAAGGAAAGGACAACGACTCAGGAGGACTCTACTTCCATATTTAATGATAGCTTGCATGCCGTCCTACCGGTAGGACCACGGGTCCTACCGGTAGGACCCAAGAAATCGCGCTGCAAAAGTGCTTTTGGTTGAGAAATTTCTTGAAACAATTGTTGAGATGAGGTCTTTGTCAGGCAAAGTAATGGCGCAAAATGCAAGACTATGTCCAGTGCATTGCATACGCGCAATTTTATCGATTATCAAAATGGCCGCACATACTCCTGTTGGAGCGCTAGCAACTCTGTCCAAAGTGAATTTTGATCATGGCACATCAATCGTGGTGAGGTACTAATGTTTTTATTAGTCTGCCAAGGCAGTGGGATGCATAATTCCATACACCGTTTCCATGGTTACTATTTGCTGTTACCATGGAATTTCGTACTATGCCTTGTGCGATCACGTCTAAAATTTGTGGACTCCTTCACTAGCCCCTGAGCAACAGTTTAGGGTCAAGTTTTAGGTCAATGTTAGAACAGAGGCCATGCAGCATGTCTGTGTATGATGGTCCTACCGGTAGGTCCTACCGGTAGGACCGAGGTCTATGCAAGCTATCATTAACTGATTTGTCCAAAAATTGCGACATGTCCAAAAATTGCGAATCACCTCGTACAGGTACCATGTTTTACATCGACAATGCGGTGTATCATCAGCATGCATTATTCTTTTTATTATTATGGCTTTTTAGGCCCAATTTTCAAAAAATTTCCCAGGGGAGGACCCCTGCACCCCCCTCTCACACTTTCGCCGCACCAATGTTAAACTCCTTCCGACGCACCTGTAGTTACACCTCTAAATTACCTCATACCAAGTGTACATAGCCAGGAGTGTGCACTTCTATCCTATCTTCAGCTGCGATGGACTTGTAATAGGTGTATGCATTCTAAGACAGTACAATACTCACTATTCGTATTTCCCGCTCCTTCACCATAGCAATGAGATCCCATCAAGTACAGAAGAGCGCATGCTCCAGTGGTTCTCTAGTTCTAGTCTTTGTGTCTATTCTTCCCACTCTTGTCTACTCTCTTGTCTAAATACTTCTTCCATGTAATTATTCAATACTACAAAACCCTGTGTTCTAAGAGTGTGAGGGGCCTGCATTTAGCCGGGAGCTAACAGACTCCTAACTTTCTCGCGGAAGTATTTCTGAATGTATACGCCTTTCCGTGCTGGTCACATAGATACAGTATCGTTTGTTAGCTTCAGGATATACGGATCTAGAGTTTGCTGCTCTGCTTCAACTGTCGTAGCTGCAATGTACATGTTCTTCGCACTTTTGATCTCTGACTGGGCATGATGGCATCATTGAACCAAATGAATATTCAATGCAACCATTACAATTATACAAGTGCACGTTCTTCAAATCCGTTGATCCGCGAGCTGCAGAAAGTGCTCAATGTCAGAGACAGAACTTAGTACATAGCAGACTCAGCAGAAGACGTTCAGGTTGGTTGTCACTCTGAGTTTCATGCCGTTGGGCAATCACCAGACAACTGATACTCGGGTCTACCCAACAGTATGCTTATAAACACATAGGGCCACAAGCATAAACAAATTTAGCGCTAAATCTGGTGTAAGGTATGGGGAGAAAGCTGGCGCGGGCCAAGGCGCGGCAGTAGAAGTGCCAGGAGGGTGACGGGCAACAGGCAGGTGTGAGCATGAAAGCGCGGAAAGAGGCGATGGGGAGGCAGTGTACAGCAGATGGGTGGAGGTGCCAGGAAGATGGCGGGCAATGGGCCAGTGAGATCGTTAGGCGGTCTTTGGGTGACGGGCAGGCGTGAGCAGAGTGGCATAGCCAACAACAGGCCAAGGGATTGTGGTATTGATAATTGAGCACTCTCTGCAGCTCGGGGATCAGCGAATTTGTCCACGCTCCTGGCTTTACATCACCAGCAATCAGCGACATCGCGCCTGACAAAATTTTTTCAAATAAAATATTTCCACCCCAACGTCACTGCTGGTGCTGAGCTCGCGCGATCAAGTGTGAAGTTTTTTTTGTGATCTCAATGAAAAAGGATTTTTTTGAACTCACGCTGTACACAACAAGCTCTCTGATCTGCATGTCTTTTTCGGTGGAGGTGATTTTTGTTGTTGTTATTGTTGTGGCTGGCGACGAGAAGGCTCTCATTTACGCTAGGTATCTCATAGACAGAATGAGCCTGGTTTTTACGCCAAGCTGATGTTTTCAGCAGCAGTCCGCTGTGGAGAAAATTCAAGCAGTCTTAGGGGCCTGAAGTTTTTGCTGCTTCTTACCGGATCGACAGTGGGAAAGAAGGTACGTTTATTTTATTGTAATAAATCAGGTCGCGAGGTCGACACAATTGAGCTGTTCGTTGCACTGTGAATTTTGTTGCTTTAGGGTGGCAGCGTGCAGTACCTTGTGAAATGGAGAGACTTTATCCTCTATGAGCTTGGGAGTATGAAGATATCAGATATCAGTGACGATCTATCAGGTGATTTCATTTCATTTTGGGTGAATTTATTGAATGTATTCTTCAATGCATGAATTTGAAAATCTCCCTTTTGTTTGCTGTAGATATTTTGATGGTTCGGGGAATGTTGGGCCCTTTCTCAGTTGACGAATGTTTGAGGCTGCTGATGGAGCTTGCACTGCTGTGCAGTGAAAAATAGAAGTGAAATAGTCACAAAAGGCACAATGGAGTTTTACGTGTAATAGTGCTCCACATTATTGTGTCGAGCCCTCTCCGCTGGCAGAAGGAAGTTTTCCTCCTTGAAACGAAATAGTCTATTCCTGACTTTCGAATCAGAAACTGGACAAAGGGGGTTGGGACCGAAGAATTTCCCTGTGAAGTTCTTTCCTCCAGGTTGGGATGCTTGCATGAACGTACATGGACAAGGCCCACGGGCTCACTACCTGATTACCTTGACAGGAGGGGATCGTGCTGCCCGGCAGTTTGTCTCTTCCACAGAAAGGGGCATTGATTAATCATGAGCTTACCGCAGAGCACAACGAAAGCATTGTAGCATGAAACTAATTTGTCTGAATACAAATCTGCACAATGGCACAGACGGCTAATGGAGGTAAAGCATAGCATCACCAGCATTGTATTCCTGGAAGCAGTGCAAGTTATAGATTTAGGTATCAATATTTATCTAAGCTTTAGCGAAGTCCGGACGCAGTACATTACTAGTGTGAAAGATAGAAGAAAAAGCGATGATATCCGTATATACCCGGAAAGAGAGGTGAGAGTGGGTGGGAGTAAGTGAAAGCACTTGTACAAGCTAAACATCTGTGCAACCGGAAAGAGCAGAGAAAAGACTAAAGCAATTACACAGGCCATGCGTACGAGGTAATTTAGCAGTGAGACCCAAACATTCT